AATCAATTACTTTAATTTTTCTCTTGGTAATTGTGCATTCTTTGGTTGGTTTTTGGTTTTTTGAGACAGGATCTTGGTATATAGTTCACGGTGGCCTTGAGCTTACTCACTAGGCTGGCCTCAAACTCAAGGTGATCCTCCTGCCTCCCAGGTGCTTGGATTTCCAGTGTGCTAACTGTGTATTTTACCCTCTGTCCTATTAGTGGTATTAAAACGTTTGAGAACAACGACAACAACAAAGACACACTTGTGTGTGCGCTCAGTGCTGGGCGCTGGGCAGGGCAGACTCACAAGCGTGTGGTGACCACACTGTATGGGAAGTGGTGGATGGGAGAAATGAGGCAGGAAGAAGGTTTAGTCCAGACTCCAGGCTGAGGGTTTGGGAGCTGGGGAAGCGACACCTCCTGGCTTCCCATATGGTAGCCACAAACCACATGTGGCTTGGAAACGTTAGTTAAGCTAAAATATATTAAAAAGTTAGTTACCACGAGTCTAGCTTCAAGAGCTCAGTAGCTCAGTAGCTCAGTTGTCCCTTGGTATCTGTGGAGATTTGTCACAGGACCCTCTTCCTGCCCCTGCCAAAATGCAGATTCTAAAATCTCCTGTATGAAGGCATGGTATTTGCATATAATCTATGCACAGCCTGGATATACTTTAAATCACCTCTATCGACTTAGATACTGTACCTAGCACAATGAGAATGCTACCAGTATGTAAGTAGTTGCTACCCTGTATTATTTTCTTGGGTTTTGTTTGTTGGTTGGTTTTAAGACAAGGTCTCCATATGTAGCTCAGGCTGGCCTTGAACACCTGGCAATACCTCAGCCTCCCAAGTACTGGGATTATAGGCGAGGACCACCAGGCCCAGCACCCTATACTGTTAAACTAATAATAAAGTGTGTTCTTTCTCAACACAGGATGGAACCCAGGGCCGTCACATTCCCAGGGCTTTTTAATTTCTTATTTTGAGACAGAATCTTGCTAAGTTGCCCAGGGAGGTCTCAAACTTGCATCCTTCAGGGCCGGGGCTTTAGCTCGGTGGCACTGCATCTGCCTCGAAAGTGCAAGGTCCTGAGTTTGATCCCCAGTACTAAACAAACAAACATACTTGCATCCTCCTGCCTCAGCCTCCCAGAGTGCTGGGATTACAGGTTTGCACCACTGCACTTGGCTTGTTTAGAGAATAATGAGAAGAAAAAGAAATGCCAGTACATGTTCAGTATAGATACAATTTGAGTATTTTTGATCCATAGTTGGTCAAATCCTTGGACCAGAGAACATTTCCAACACTGGAGAATATTCCGCTGGAAGATGCTGGTCAAGGCCGAGGGCGGCAGGAGGAGGCAGGCGGGCCTAGGAGAAGGCAGTCTCCCCTGAGGTCCCCACAGAGGCTGGCACGTTCTAAACTTACCATGGTTCATGCTGGAGGAGTCCCTTCTCAGGGCTGGGAAGGCCTGGTGGCACCAGGTGAGGAATGGCACAAGGCCCGGGTTTGGAGCCTGGAGGAGGAGGAACGGGTGATTCCCTCCTGACAGTTGGTGTGCACTGCCACAGTTCCTGGGTCTCATGTGGCATCTGATGAAGAGGATGAGAAACTGTTTCCTAAAGAGATGCATAATGAGGAGCGGCTTCAGCCAGCGAGTGTGGCCATGAGGGCTCACCTGGCAAACACCAGGAGGAGAACAGAGGAGCTGCACTTGACACCCGACTGACTCCCAGGTGACAGCGATGGCTGGAGAGGGAAGGCAGGCTAAAACCTTTGCTCTCCTGTGCTGTCTTTCCAGTTCTCCCAGACCCCCAAGCCACACCTCCTAACCCTTCCTAGACAGGGATAGTGGTGCAGACTTGTAATCCCTCCCCTTGGGAGGCAGAGGCAGGAGGGTCCTCACAAGGTGAATGCCAGCCTGGACTACAGAGTGAGACCTTGTCTCAAAGAAAAAAAAATGCAAATTTAAGTGTCCCTTAAGTGCCCTCCGGCCTGACTTCTTCAATGCTCTTCACTTTATCTTAAATCTTCATTCCTGGCCATAGAAATGTCAACAATTCCCCCTCATTTCCTCTATTCACAAAGCTCTTCCTGCCATCTTGGGTCCAAAGCTCCTATTGCATTTTTCCTAATCTATATTAAATCACACCTATAAAATCAAAATATTCTGGTGTGGTGGTGCACACCTGTACTCCCAGCACTCTGGAGGCTGAGCCAGGAGTTCAAGGCTAGCCTGAACTACAAAAAAAAAAAAAAGGCGACATTTCAAAAAGGTCTAATTTGTTGCATTTTTTAAAATCAAAACGAATTGTCTTAGCCTGTAATCCTAGCACTTGGGAGCCAAGACAGGAGGATCAGCACAAATCTGAGGCCAGCCTGGGCTCTAGAGTGAGACCTTGTCTCAAAAACAACAACAAAAAACCTAATTGTCTTAGCCTACTTTGTGTTTCTACAACAAAATACCAGAAGGTGGGTAGTTTATAAAGTAAGAAGGTTTGTGTAGCTCACGGTCTTAGAGGCCGAAAGCCCAAGAGCGGTTGCTGGCTGTATGCACCCAGGGCCTACTGCATCACAGTAGGGCTGAGGAGCAGTGACCGGGGCAATACAGAAAGGGCTGGGTGGGAGGCCCGCTCACATCTGACCTCCCTGCCAGAGAACCCACTCGCCAGAGCCGGGACCCTGACAGCAGCTCAGTCACTGCGGCAGTGAGGACCAGAGCTTCAGCCCTGGACCATCAGGGCCCAGCTGGCCACACCCAGTGCAGCTTGAGAGGCTCAGTGGACGCCCTCAGCCCGCACTAGACTGAGCGCATGGGTGGTGTTTCACACTCGGACCCACAGAAGCAGTCAGCTGACAGCTTTGGGTGCTGCTTAGGACCCAAAGGCCTGGTCCAAGGCCTGAGACGCTACATTTCTAACAGGGCCCTGAGTGAGGCTGTGGGGCAGAGGGAGGGGAAGATGGAGCCGGTGGGGGAGGCAGAAAGGGGAGGGGGG